TGGCCTGGGCGCCCCCCGGCTCCCAGGCCTGGCGGCAGGCGCCGAGCGCGGCGGCGGCGTAGCACCCCGCCATGCTGGGCTGGAAGGGCAGGGCGCGCCCCGCAGAGCGAGCTAAACCCCGGAAGAGCCGCGGCACGACAGGTACCGCCGGGTGGCTGGGGCAGGGGCAGCGCAGCACACGTGCCAGGGGGGAAGGAGGGCGCAGGAATGTGACGTACAAAGCCGAAGAAAGCCGCTCATTGGCTACTTGAAAGTGGGGCGGGGCAATGCGAAGCGCCGGATTCGGCGTAGCCTTGGCCAGCTATCGCCTCGGTGGCTGCGGCTGCGGGCTGGGGGCCGGGTCGGGAGGGAAGGAAACGCTGGGACCGCGCTTGGGCCAGGTTCGGCCAATGGGAGGGTTCAGGCGTTGCCCAGCCGCCGCCTCCTCCACCACCACCCCTTATTTTGAACCTGTGACCCGCACTCCTTGATCCTTTCCTCATCATTTGTCCCCCGTAATCAGTTGGACATGGGTCCAGTTGTCCCTCCTGTAAGGCTGGGGTGGGGTTTTAGCCCACCTTCCCATGGTTTTCATATAGCCCCCCCTTCCCAGCTTGGGCCCACCAGCCCTACGGGATCCTCTGGAAAAGGGCTTATTTTCCGGAGAATCGCGTCTAGACTGGCGCTTTTCTCCGGCAAAAACCCCGAGCAATTCCGAAGTGTCTGGAAAAGGGATGCCAATGTAGACACAGCCAAGAAGTCATTCATCCGCTCTACTCTGCGCTGATTAGGCCTCAGTTGAAGTTTTGTGCCCAGTTCTGGGCACCGCAATTCAAGAAAGATGTGGAATAATTGGAGAAGGTCCAGAGAAGAGCAACAAGAATGATTAAAGGTCAAGAGAATATGACCTACGAAGGAAGACTGAAAGAATTGGGCTTGTTGAGTTTGGAAAGGAAGAGAGTGAGAGGAAACGTGATAGCAGTTTTCAGGTATCTAAAAGGGTGTCACAAGGAGGAGGAAGAAAAATTGTTCTCCTTGGCCTCTGAGGATAGGACAAGAAGCAATGGGCTTAAACTGCAGCAAGGGAAGTTTAGGTTGGACATTAGGGAAAACTTCCTAACTGTCAGGGTGATTAAACACTGGAATAAATTGTCTAGGCCGGTTGTGGAATCTCCATCTCTGGAGATATGTAAGAGCAGGTTAGATAGACATCTATCTGGAATGGTCTAGACAGTACTGGGTCCTACCGTGAGGGCAGGGGACTAGACTCAATGATTTCTTGAGGTCCCTTCCAGTTCTAGTGTTTTATGATTCTATGAAGACTATGCCAACATGGTTGCTATGCCAATATAACTCTATGGTGTAGCTTCAGGGGCGGCCCGTGGATGTAGGCAACCTTGGCAGTTGCCTAGGGCGCTGCGTTTAACGTGGCGCCCAATGATGATGTCTCGCCCTTGAGGGCTATGGAGGCGGGGGCACCGATCGCACATTCCGCCTAGGGGTGCCAGTTGCCATCAGCTCTCCTTGAGCCGTTTCTGCGTAGCTGCAGTCAACAGCTTGAGGGTTAGTCTGCAACGGAGCTGGAAGGTGTGTAATTTGCAGCTCTGGTAGATGTGTCAATGCTAGCTGTAATGGAGTTAATGTGCTAAACAGAAGCATAGGCACAGTAGTGCTGCCTGAAACTGTATCTGACGTCTCAGATGGAATGATGCTTGGAGTGGCTAGTGTAGTGACTCACAGTGCCGCAACTACGCTTCTGGTTTTAGTGTGCTAGCTTAATAAAAGCAAGCATCGGTCTGTCTATTAAAGCTGGAAATTACACCTCCCAGCTTCAGTTTAGGCATAACCCAAATAGTGTGAGACTTGTGGTGAAAGTCAGAATAAGATCTAATGGCTAGAACATGGGTTCCCAAACTGGGGGGGGGGTGTGAAGAAATTTCAAGGGGCGTGCGAGGCGACCCAGCCCTCCTCTGTCAATTTTTCCCCTTCCCCCCAAAGTTTTGCTGCTATTTTTGTTTTTCAGCCCTCGTCAGTTCCTTTCTTTTTTATGTTCAACAAGTTTTGCTGCTTTTGGGGAGCGAGGAAACATGAGGGTTTCTCAAAAATCAAAAAGGGGGCATGATACCGAAAAGTTTGGGAACCACTAGTAGAAGCTGAAGTTAAACAAATTCAACCCTGAAATAAGATGTAATTTCTCAGCAGTGCAGGCATTTCAATATTTGAACAGTTTACTGAGGGAGGGAATGGACTCAACACTGCTGGAGTCTTTACAATAGTTAGATATCTTTTTTTAAAGTGATGCTTTAATTCAGTTTCTGGATGAAGTGTTATGGCCTATGTGTGCATGTGCTTCAGGTAGTTGATCAGACTAATTTATTCTGGTCTAAAAGTCTGAGTCCCCCTGACCATACCCTTTTCTCATGAGTTACGTGGGAAGAATAGGATTGAGTACATTGCGCTCTACAAGCATCTGTATGCTCATAATACTTACAGTTCTATCTCACCATGATGCCATGATATATTGGTAGAACATAAGAACACAAGAACGGCCGTACTGGGTCAGACCAAAGGTCCATCTAGCCCAGTAGCCTGTCTGCCAACAGTGGCCAGCACCAGGTGCCCCAGAGAGGATGGACCGAAGACAATGATCAAGTGATTTGTCTCCTGCCATCCTTCTCCAGCCTCTGAGAAACAGAGGCCAGGGACACCATTTCAATCCCCTAATAGCCTTTTATGAACCTAACCTCCATGAAATTATCTAGCTTCTCTTTAAACTCTGTTATAGTCCTAGCCTTCACAGCCTCCTCTGGCAAGGAGTTCCACAGGTTGACTACATCCTGTGTGAAGAAGAACTTTCTTTTATTAGAGTTTTAAACCTGCTTCCCATTAATTTCATTTGGTGCCCTCTAGTTCTTCTATTATGGGAACTAATAAATAATTTTTCTTTATTCGCCCTCTCCATACCACTCATGATTTTATATACCTCTATCATATCCCCCCTCAGTCTCCTCTTTTCTAAACTGAAAAGTACCAGTCGTTTT